GGAAAAGTTAAAAAGGTGGTCTTATAAATCCACGCCATTGCATTCTTTTCACATAATCTTAATGTCCTCAATAAAGAAATCTTATTAATATTTTTGTGTGTGAGCAAACTTGAATTACTAGTGTGACGTAAACTATAAACATTCCCGAGTCTGTAACGGGGAGAGATAATTTTACTTTACAGATGAAGAGGTCAACCATTTCAGTCTCAGGCGGTCAGAGCTGAGAAGAAAGACAAATGTAACTGAAGTTTATTAAACTAATGAATCTTTTGTGGGTTCTTGTGCCCAGGTCGTTACGTTGGCTTTGTTCAGCTCTGGTTTAACTGCTTGAAGAATGAGTGGACCTGAAAGGAGCTGTTCATTCAGAACCAAGCAGCCACGTGCCAGCTGAGCGCCAAAAAACAAAAGGGCTAAATACTGTATTAATTAAAAAGGGCAATCTGCTCCATCCTCCCTATGCAGACAGAGTCTAACGGAAACTGCATATGGTTTTGTTAATCCGTTATCCTAAATTATTGTTGTCATGGAGCTATTGAAAAGCAAAAACAGTGATTGGAGGTGAGGTATTAAAAATCTTACAGTTATTCATCACCGACCGTACTGTATTATTGTTCAACGGGAAAAGGTCAACCCAATGAATAAGATTCAGCCTATTTTTAGATAAAAACAATTAGCCCGAGGGTACTCAGATTTACAAGTACAGGTTGAAAGCACAGGTTGAACACTACTGTATATGTATGATAACTTAATGAGAATAGATACATCTTGAAGCCGGAAAATATATCAATTGTTGCGTAGTTTCCCGGTTTTTTATTATGGATTAGCCCTCAGAAACCAGACTTGCAATTCAGATCCACTGAATGTAAATTGTTAATATATTTTTTTTAATGAAGATGAACAAAAAGCTCAATGCTATCATTTTAATGGTCATTTTTTGATACACTGACAGAGACATATTATGTTGAAAATGTTATAATTCCCTACAGATAAACGCAGTTAAGAAAACACTATAGCAGCCTGTTCAGTGTAAGTGCTTGTATAATAATTATTCGTCAAATCGTACGCGATGCATAGCCACCTAGAAAAATAATAAGTTGTGACTGCTTAAACTGCATTAAAAGTTACTTAAAGTTTATTTTGTGAACAATTGTTTTACATAAGTTGCCTTGCATAAAGACATCGACTAAAGCTTTATTATGTGGATATTAGATACACATACAGAAGGGTATATAATTTGAATTTCCAAATAGTACAAACATTGGTTTCACACGTGGTTAAGACATTTACTTTCTGCATAATATATTTGTTCATCCACAGATGTCCCCATAATAAAATAAAATGAGTCCATCCTCGAGCAATTATTACACCCCTTTTTTGGACTTTGTTACTCTTATGAATGTTCTTACTTCAGGGAGATTTCGCATTGGGAAAAACGGAGAAAATCCATCAGCTGTTTGTGTCATTGGTTCTTTCCATTGCACCGCAACTCCTTAGTTCTTGTACTATAAAAAACAAACCTTTCCTCTATGGTGTTGAACGGTGACAAACGTACGTCTACTGTTGGAGAAGACGTTGAAACATTCGCAAACAAGTTTGGTCTAATCAATGAGCATTTTGACATTCAGACTTGAATGCAGTGCTTACTATATAAAAATACACACCTGTGATATCAACTATATAGTCTCTTGATGCATTTCACTCTGTCAGCACTCAGCTGATACGAGTATATACGTGACATCATGAACATTGTTCATCGCCCATTCATCCGCCCTTTTCACACTAATTTCGGACATTTTCTCATACCATAAAACGTTTTTACCATGCGGAGTAGTTACTCTCCCTTGAGATTCACACGGCTTTAAACCTTTGCTAAGCAAAAAGGTGACAACTCCTCAATGTTCTGTAAACATTCATTTTGCTAGTAGGACAGCAATCTTTACAAGACTACTTCTTACTACCTAGCAGCAGACAAAGGTAAGTACTATGCCAAGAGGTCAGAATATGACGCTGTCGTGCCGCTCAATATCGCACACAGTTCAATTCCATTAGCGATAGTAAAATACACTTTCTGAGTTAATCAGAAACAATTATTTGGCGATGCCAAAGTAGCCTTATAGCTTTATTAATGTCTACATTGGAACAAACAAAGTTAATTGCCAGAAGTAATCAAAGAGTCACATAGATTTGATTGGCAAATATAACGGATTAGCTACTAAATCACCTCATAGCTGTAGTAGTGTATAGTTTAGGTTGAGCTGTGGTGATCACAAGACTGGTCAATATGAATTAAAGACAGCAACGCCGATTTCTTCTCATCCAAATGACACCATATTATCACTCTCTAAATAGCTATGGCAGTAGACAACAGTAGTGGAAACCTCGAGTAAGTTGTTGATAAGCTACATACATTTCTACTATAAATTGTGTCTAAAACATATTTTGCACAGCATGGTATCTGGACAATTTTATGTACTTTTATGACAAGCTTCTCTTATCCTTCTATCCCTCCTTCCTTGTCTGACCCACACATATCTTACAAGTTGCAAATTGTGTAATAAACATTTAGTAGGATGTACCTATTTCTTCTTCTTTTTTATTTAATCTCAAACTCATCCAAAAACAGGTTTGATAAACTATATCCTAAAATTTATATTTAAATGTTATGTAGTTTAATTTTTTTTTCTGGCATTGTGTTTGGTGCATTTAATGAAGAAAGATAAGTTTGTGACCTATAATTTGCCTTCTTAATGGTGTCTGTTGTGGAACAGAGGATCATTTTTGTAGCTTTATTTATTAACGATAAAATCTGTTTTTTATATTTGTGTACTGGACTGGTCACACTAAATCTGCATGTTCCCCAAAACATGTAGTGGTGTATTAGTTGTATAAAGTGAACGAAAAGCCATGTCTTCAAATAAACGAAATATGCAAACCATGCACTCGATAAAGAACAAAGAATGTTGATTTTCATATTCCATAATTGACAGATTCAGAAAAAATGGTAGTTAGGCAGACAAAACTGGTTAATAATGCCGCTTAGTCCAATTAGGCAGTCAGCTAAAACTTTGTTGTTGTTCTTAAGCCTATACACTAGTCAGCAATGCCTGTACCCAAATGGAAAATCATATCAGCCCATTTTAGGAGATTTTTGGGTGTAGAGCTGTGAACGTGGAGAACGATGTACATTTAAGTGCAAGCTATTAGTTTTGCTCTTTCACAGGGAGATGGAACAAATAAACCCTCTTTCCTAGTACTCTTGCTGCTAGCTGTAAAATCAACCCTTCTTCTTCTCATGAAGCACACACACACTTGAGACAAGTGGGTTCTGCTCTTTTTCTTTGTAATTTGGAATCACATATTAGTTCCTATCCTACAGTATATCCTTCCAAACTGGAACCATCGAATGATCTTTCCTCCAGATTTGGTATGACAATCCTTGTACAAGAGAAGGAGAAAAATGACCTGTGTGTACTCTCCTTTGAAGCCATTCATCATTTAACGAACTTCACATTGCCTTAGAGGAAAGTTACTGCCTCTCGGAGGAGCAGCATATATCTCTGTTATGCCACTACATTTCCAACGTGTCCTGTTGTTCCCAGGATTTGCTGTGGCATTGAAAGTTTGGGGAATACAGTCTACTTAAGTCTCACCTGGAGGTGTTCATCCAGTTGTGCACTGAAGTTCAGGGAATCCCATTCGTAGTGAATTATTGACTTCACCTAGGTTAGAATCACTGTTGTCTGGACCACAGAATTCATTGTACCCTCTGAGCAAGCGCCTTTACTATTTGAAGCTTTCAGCTGGCTGCCACTGAATGCACCCATGGTATAGGTGAAGCCTGCAGCTTATTATGAATACGTTGACAATGTGAGTAACTGTTTTAAGCAACACACACATCTGCTCCTGGGACATGCACAAAGAGCTATGGGATACTGCTGTCATCCATTTGATACTATCTTGCATGAAGTCATCCATTTGATATAATCTTGCATGAAGACACTTCTGGAGTTTCCACTCCAGATGAATGACACTAAAGCTCAGCACAGCCTTCCCAATGTCACTCAGGCCTGTGCACTGTTTTGATGAAGCCGTACTCCAGCAGCTTTTTTTCATTGATGTCTTACAGTTGTTTCTCATTCCCAAGCAAAGAAAAGTTAAGCTGGTCCTACTCTTCAATATGGCACCTTACTTTCAGCTGCACTGGAAAAGGAGAACTTTGGGAAAGCACAGTGTTCTAGGGTAGTGCTTCTTTATACTAAGAAGGCAAGAAAAATCAGCCCCAAAAGTTCTGTGGTCTCACTCCTAATGACTGAAGTCTGGGAAGCAAAGAACACGTTCAAAGGACTTTTGTTTCCTGTTCTCAATCTGTTAATAACTTTATCTATCCTCTGTCTGGATAGACAGATACTTGATTGATCCTGTGAGGTATAGTGTGCAGTATAGTATTATTGTTATAAATGGTTTCAGGAATAACTATAGGTCATTGTCTGGGAGATTATACACAAGGTGTTTGGAAGTTTGTGTTGCTGTGTGATTCAACCAACCATTTTCAATAACTTAATGTTAAGGAACATAGGTAGGACTATACCCTTGTAAGGACACCAGTAAACAACATACACACTGTAGGGGCAATTTAGAGACAAAGATTACCCTGAGAAAGTGAAAAGTGTGGGAGGAAACTGGAGTATCTAGATGAAACCCAGTTGAACTTTGGGAAAACATACAAACTATAGATCCATAGCGAGATTTGAACCCAGGACCCCAGGGCTGTGAAGAAACAAGAAGCACTGCTCAATCCTGACGACCCTGAATGATGTAACAAGATAATATTGGATATCTGACATTGTGGACTTGTTTCTGGAAAGTTCAAAAGTATTCATTGCACAATGATGAGATTATAGTCTCCTATTTTCCAGAGAGGATTATTATATGTTAGCTGATTCTTTATAGTCATCTTCTATATTTTGGAGAATCTTATATGTTTTTCTGTTTTCCTACAGCATCAAGGAGAGGGGCCGTCAAATCCTCATCACATCTTTATGTGCTTTGATTCTCACAAAATTGAAAACTTTTACTGCTAAAGGAGACTGCAAAAAAGACATCTATAGACTTTGAAATATTAGGTAGGTGTTGAAGTATATAATACAGTACCTTATTTTTCTCATTTTTGTTATATACAGTAGAAAATATGTTTTTAAACAATTGCCTTTTAAGAGATTATTATTGGTTTTTTTTTTAATTATGCTTTATTGCATTGTACTGTAACATTACCAGAACTACTTAATAATATGGTACAGTGTCAAGGCCAACATTTTTACCTCCTAGGCCCTCAGCTGACATATTTCATGATTGGCTTTTGATTTAAAGGATCTCTTTCTAGCACTGTTCTGCTGCTGTCTTTATTATAAATCTGACTTAGATGTGAAACCCCGCAGGAGAAAATGTGGTACATTTTTTGAATTGAGGCTCTCTTTCCAGTAGCTCTGAACTTCTAGAACTCTAGAAATTTCCTTAGCCTTTCAAATTCTTTTTATTTTCTTTTTAAGAACTGGCTTCCTAATTCCAACCCAGATAGGATTAGTTGGTTGAATATTTCTGTGTACAGATAGCTGTGAGACCTGTTTAATTTTTGTGCTTATCAGTTCTTTGGAGCTCTTGGGTGGAGAGAGGAGTGACCAGATTCCTTAAGCATAGTAACGTTTTTTGCATGCCTCGAGGTAGCCTAATTTTGGTATGTTTGATATGAGATCACTGCAGTATGTCTGATTCAATTCCAGACTTTGAGGAACTAAAGGTGTGTTTTCTTTGGTGAATAGCACATGTGAAAAAACAGTCAAATTGTACATGCTTTTCTAATTTTGGCACCAATTATGGATTGATGAAATGAGGAAATAACGCATTTTATAAGGAAATTATTGAAGCTAACAAGATTGAGCTGTTTCACTCTAAAAATGATGTTTCTTACAATAAAATGAAGAAAAAACTAAAAGGGAAAAACTACAGATGAACTTTATTAAAATTATATTGAGATATGTTGTCTGATAAAAGCAAAATTCATTGTCAGTTTCTGTGCTTCAATTCAGTACTTAATTAGAAATATGCTATTGAATTTAGCTGATGAAGTGTCAGTGATATGGTGAATTAAAAATATTTAAAACATTGGCCAATGTTTCTTTTCCATAACAGTCCTAAACTCTTTGTGTCCAATGGCTGAAAGAGCAGATTTATTTAGAATATAAATGCTTTTTGTTTGCAGATTTTCAAATTCCACGTCCACTAACACATTTTACTGCTCAATGCTATAAATGTTGTAATAATTAACAAGAATATGACCAAATTCACACCAATAGAATTTACATTACATTTCTTTACACCAAGTCACCTCTTCTAGTAGAATTTCAGTTCAGGCAGTTATAAATTATTTTGTAAACATTTACATTTCCTTGCCATTCACACTTTAGCTTTCTGACATTTTGGTCTCGTTTTAAAACATATTTCGTACAGTAAGATTTAAACGGCTATAATTCTGTTTGTATTAGCACGCTATCAGCGATAGTGTGGAATAGTCATTAGGGTCTTTAGTCTCCAGATTTCACGGTCATGTTTTCAAATCTCAAATGGTGACCAGAAATCAACCCTCCTGTAGATATTGGTATATTTTTGTATGTTAATAAAACAGCTAAGTTGTACAAGTCAATCTGGCTAAAAGTTCCAGCCAGACAAATGACAGAATGATACAGAATTGTCGTATTTCACAACATGAGACATACAGTACATTGAGTTTTCTGAGTGAGATGCAAGTGCTTTGTGCATGTGCCTGATTTAAAGAGTGACATTAAAGCCATACTGTTTCCTTGTGATTGTTTCTGAAATGGTTTAATAGTTATTTTATAAAATAAAAATTGTGAGAGAACTACTGCAGGTGAATCATATCCAATCATGAATTAAAAATGACACTAGCTATATACAGTAACTGATACAGAAGCCCCATCTATATACAGTATGAAAAGGAGTACATACCATTTTTAGTGCTTCTGTAAAACAAACATTTGTAACTTATATTTTTCACTTTCTTTAAATGTCTGTAAACCCCATTTAGTCTGATGGCTCTAATTCTGTTTGTATGATGTACATCTCCATTCCAGACAGGAGCAAGTAGATGTTAATTCCATACTGGTAAGTAAAAAGACATACACAGCATTTTGAGCTGTTGAGTCTTGTTCAGTTGTGATGGAGGGAGAGTAAGGTAACAGGAATATAAAGCACAGGACAGCAAAGGACAGAATAGCGAGAATAGCTCAAAGGTGAGAAAGAGTGTTCATAATTAGACATACTTCTTTTTTAAACCATAATTTTAATTATAAGTAAAATAATAGTTTATTTGTGAAATCCTCTCATTTATTTTATTTGGCTAACAATGTACACAAGACAGTCTTTCATACATAGTTTTCTGTGTCGGAAGCAAGATTTTAGATTTTCAACCATCTCCCCCAGATTTCCCTTCATTTGGAGGATCTTCTCAATCTGCACCCATTCAAGACTCAAAAGCCAAATCGTTGTGTTTCTTCGTTTATGGGATTATGCTGTACGTCTTCCTTTTCAGCCAACACACGCTGATGCTCAACTGCAAGCTTGTTGTTGTCCGCATGGGAGAAGTACTATGCTTCCTTCCCAACAAACAGTGAGATAATAAGATACATATTATTCCTATGCAGTGTTTAGTATTTGTGCCTGACAGAGCCAAGGCCCTCGGTTCAGTTCTGGACCTGGGGTGCAACCTGCATGGAGCTTGTATATTCTCCCCACGTTCGTGTTTATGTGGGTTTCCTCAAGGTGCTCTGGTTTCCTCTTACAGTTCAAAAACATACTGGTAGGTTAATTGGCCTCTGGGAAAATTGAGTGCGAGTGTCTGTGTCTGTGTCTATGTGCGCTCTGTGTTGGACTGGCATCCCGTCCAGGATGGCCCCAGCTTTGCGCTCGTTGCTTGTTGGGATAGGATCTGGCTCCCCCTCAGCGCTGACTTGAATGAACCAGTGAGAAAATGGATGGAAGAACAGATATTATTTCTTCTAATGCTGTGAGTGGAAACAAAAACAAGACTCATAAGGAAGGAAGTTGGCATAAATAATCGCTTTCCCTTGTTTGTTATCAATGACTGATGAGGTATCCATAAATGTGATTGTACATAGGCGATCAATGTAAGTGAAAACTTCACGTATTTTACATTATTTTATTAGTTTAAACAATGCAATGTGCTTAACATGAGATATTTTAGTTTGACTCTGATGGCATTGTGGGTGAATGTCACATATAAGAGTACTCATTCAACAAAAATGATTGAGTAGTAGCTGTTTTCTCACAAACAAACATACATTCACCAACACATAAATCTATAATTTGTTTACTAGTAATTCCACATGGAACTGTTGAACAGTCACAACTGAATAATGTTTATTACCCAATTCTGTGCTCCTCTTATCCCAATGGCGAGTATGGAAAGGTAATTTGGTGCTGCGTCATCTATTTTTCTAGTCATGATACCCAGAACTGGTCAACAACTTAATTTACCAAGTTTGCCAGCAGATTTCCTTCAGGCTTGATATGACACTTCTCCTTCTCGATCCTTTTACCCCAGAGTGCTTTGATCCAGAACATCTGATGACTGCTGTACATAGATTGTCTCTGAACTCTAAAAGCAAACATTTGCACATTGATAGCTGTGAGTCCACACGTTTTCTTTGTCTTCAACATTGCAATTTCACACCTTTTCATTGGAGTTTCCCTTTGTATCTTGCAGTGCAGACTTCAGCCACCAGAGTGCATCTTGATGTATGTGTGTTTTAAGGACCCTCAGGCAACCACCCTCAGGGATAGGATTACCTTCAGCATTCTATCAGTAGAAAATGGATTCCAATATTAAATGTATTAGGTGAAAGGTTACTCTTACATGCTTGCTTTTATGTACAGTAAGGTTGATTGGGTAATTCCTTTGTAAGCTTTTAAATGAAAGCTGTTGTTTATGGATATGCACTAATCAGAGGAGACCGAGACGTCTTTCAAGAGCTCTTTAACAGAAAAATAAATTTCATTCTTTTCACCTTCAGCCAGAAGAAAGAAACATGAAAGACAATGCTTTCAAAATGAAATGCTACTTAGGATTCTCAGAGAGAAAAAGAGTTGTCCTAAAGCATTTTTCATACTGCTCTTTATGTTTACTAGATAAATCAGGTTATGTTACAAATAAAAGGGGTAAGATTTTGATGTATTGTCCTTAGTTTGATAGTTTAGCTTGCATGACATGACCTGAAGGTGATGCTTTTGAATTAAGCCTTCAAAATGTGCATGTTTTTATTACTATAAATGGAAGTTAGATGCTTACTGATGAAATGTGAAATTATATAATAATAGACTAATAATCAGATTTAGAAGACAATTTTATTATATTATTTTATAGCTGCTGTTAAGAACAAAAGACATCAGAACCATTTTGGTCTTAGTCAACAATAAAGGTTAGCCATCATTTCTGAAGTTCAGAATCAGGTCAGATTTTGTAACTGGCCTGTGTGTGTTACATAATTGTCATGAAAAACATTTGTTATTTTCAGAATCAAATAAAATAATAATAAAAATATGTTCGGATTTCCATTACTTACATGCTTAAAATCGGGCTTTTACTTAATAAGCAGACAGGACTTGCATCTGTATGCTTTTAAAGAACTGGGTGCTATCTGTTAATGATCATTTTCCAAACAGATGTTTGGACAGCTTTGACAACTTTGTTCATGATTTCTTTTAAAGGAATAAAAGCCTTGGTATGAGAAGGTATGCATTTTGCAAGAATTGAAATGGACAATCTCTTCTGTTACTACTTCCAATACAAGTGCAGCCCTTTCAGGCACCCTCGGAGTATTAAATAAAAAGGAGTGTGTAGAAAATCTTATCCATTTATCTTCTTACAGCTTCTTCCAATTCAGGGTCACGGGGGAGCCTGCCTTGGCTAGCAACAAGCACACGGCAGGGTATACAATGGATGACAAACCTGTCCATCACAGGGCTGACCCAGACTCACACCAGGGCCAATTTTCCCAGTAGCCAATTAATCTACCAGTAAGGATCTGGACTATTGGAGGAAACTGGAGAATGTCAACACATAGAGAACGCTTATTTTGGGGGAAATTTTACTTTGTTTCTCTTTTCCATCTCCTACACCAACATTCTTGATGGATTGAGGCAGAACATTCACAAAGATTGTTCAGTACGATCACACTGCAACTCACTTGATGTTGAACAAAAAAGTTCTGAACAAGCAGATACTGTAAAAAACATGAGTTACCTTTCATGGTTCCGAAATAACCGAAATGGCGGATAACATCATGATTCAAAACCATGATTTCATTACTTGAAATGATATGATCGTGATTTTAAGTGCCATTATTCACTATTCACAAGACAACAAAAAGCATTTTTATGTGTCCTAGAAAATATACAGAAAAAAAAACAGAAAATACAAATTTTGCAAGCCAGCCCTTTCAGGACAATGCTATTTTTTCCAGGTCATATTCACCTATTAAAGCAATTTTTTATGGAGCGTTCTGCTGATAACCATAACAATACATCAGATTTTTCTTGAATAGAGTGAACATTAAGTGCTCAATAGTGAAGTGACAATTAAAGCTAAGCAGCAATTTCAAACATCACAAAATGGTACACTGTAGCTTACAAAACCAGAATATAAAATTCCCTTAGTTTTGAGGCTGACCGATAAACTAGCAAAGGTATAAAACAAATCACAGGGGCTAAATTAAAAAAATAAGGGATGAGGGAAGAAATAAATAATGTACCATGTATGGGTGTATTTATTTAAATCCATATACAGTATACTGTAGATAAAAAGTATGCAGAAAAACAAAGCAGTTATGTTCTGATCATGTATTCTTTTTTTTTACCATAAGGGAAATAATGCAATTAAAAAGCACTGAAAATGATCTTGCATCTGAAACAGCAGCATGCAAATCTACTCAGTACTGCTTTACACAGGAGGACTCTGACACACCTCAGTACTCGCATCACGAATGACCCAAGATGCCTTTCAGGAGCTGCTGCCATTCCCTAATGCCCTGTATTTGTTTTTTTCCACTGCATGTAGTCCTAGCCCTCCGACTAGGTCGTCAGCAAAAGTGAACTCTCGGTGCCGTGCGCAGGAAGAATACTTTCTGTATTCATTTTGAGGGCTTTAAAAATAGCATGCGCTATTAAAAGATGTTTGTAGGATTTGCTAAATGTAGGTTAGAGTTTTGTCTCTCAATGATCTATCTTTTTTTTTTCGGCGTTGCATTTCAAAGAATGGCTTCCTTGTTTATGCTACACCCTGCACCTTTAATAGCTCTCCCTTGTGCATCTCTCCCCTCTCTCTGTCACCATCGCCATACTTATCACAAAAAGGATGTCTTCTGATTAAGAGGCCTCATTAGGTGTGTTGCAGATGGCAGACGAACAAAAGAGAAACACTCAGACGCAGGAACATGGAAAATACCTGAAATCACACAGACACACAAAGATGCATCTCTCCATCCATTCTTCATCTTTCACTCAGTGACTGTGTAATAATACCAGCTGTATTGTGTCTTGAGCCAGCTTTTGAGATGTGCTCTGATTTCTAATTCAGACTGGCCAGCGCTTAATTGGCTGAGCAGCAACTGCAAGATGTATCTCTGCTGAAACAGTTTCGAAAATCCAGTTTTTAGCAAATGATCCCAAAGCTGAATGGATAACAAATGGTTTTGGAGATAAAAAAAGGAATGAGCTGGTAATCCTATTCCTGAAATAACTGCTAAAGATATGCAGTATCTATAGATCCGTATATTTTGGAATCACAGTTGTGAGAAAAGGCATTTAAGAAAAAGAGTGCAATGAGTAACAATATTATTTTTGATGTTATCATACTTTTTCATACCTGGTTAGAGCTCATTACAACAGTTATAAATGTGAGGAGGCCATTTAGTCAGTCTAGTAGTTAACAGTTAATTGATCCAAGGATCTCACCCAGGTTTTGCTTGAGAGAAACCATAGTATCGGCTTCAACAAAGTGGCTGGGTAGCTTGTTCCTTCTTCCTACAACCTCCTGTTCTTGGTTTTAAATGCACTTCCACACAGTTTCCCCTTGAGTGCCCTGGTTTGTGTTTCACTGGTAATTAGGAAGCCATTCACTGGGTTCACTTTTTAACTGCCTTCGAGGATTTTGAATCCTTGTGTCAGATCCCCTCCTAGTCCTCTGCGTTGAAGACTAAAAATGATTCAGTCCTTTCTGCCTGTCAGTCTTTCCCTTCAGCACTAGAATGTATCTAGCCGGTTTTCTTTAGGCAGATTCCAGAGTAGCAATATCTTTTCTATGATATGGTGACCAAGTTGCACACAATGTTCGAAATGGGGCCTTATTAGTACATTATATAGTTTTAACATAATGCCCCTCGATTTAAAGTGTATGCTATGGTCCATTTGATCCAGTGATCCTGTTTTCCCTAGAGGGAGACCTGCTAGTACTTTTTCTTCTCCCTCGTAAGAACCGAAACATGAGAACATCTTGAAATACCATCCATTAACTACCGAAGTCTATCTTTTGCCTTAATTCTGTCACTTTATTATTTTTTTTTAACCTTTAGCTTGTTGTTTGAAATTGTGTTGCCTTGGAACCAAACTAGGTAAAGACATTTATGGTATATAAGAATGTTTGGAAATGGAAGGACGTCATTTGGCACCTGAAACTAATTTTTTTGTTAGTAGCTAACTGATCCAAGGACCCAATTATATAATATAATAGAGTATATTAAACACAAAAGTAATTTGATAAGATATCCATATATAGCATTATAAAATATACATTATTATATTATATAATAAATAGTTTCAAATCTGTGCATAAGCGATAATAAATTGTTATGCCGTTATGCACACTGTTTTTAGTTTACCATATTACATTTCGATATCCGTGTTTCTCAGTTTGTCTTTTGCTGTCTTCCATCTGCAATGTGCCTGATGAGGTTTCTAAATCTAAAGACATGCTTTACTCAGGCAACCTTTAGGTGAAGCTTTAGGTGTCAGTTGTCACGAACACGGACTGAAATCCATGTCAGATCTTGTAGAAGACCCTAAGCGATGCGGTAAGAGCTGGAGAAAACAGGAGGCGTGGTAAAAGGGAACACACAGGGGTTTAATAGTGCACAAAATAATAGTGACAATCCGTGAGACAGTGTACGGGGAAGAGAAAACGGCATCCAAATCCAAACGGGTCCAAGGGCAGGTCAAAGCACAGTCCGAGAGTCCATCAAGAAATCCTTCCTGGGAGGCGACAAAGTTAAAATCCCCGGGAGGGGGGAACACACGGACAGACAAAACATGGAGGTCCAAGGGTGATGATGCGAGATCCTCCAGACCCCGGGCTCAGGAAGCTTGAGGTGTCGGGGATGAGGCCTATGCCCTCAGGTTGGACGTAGGGTTTCCTGGTGCTAGGCGGGCCTCGCGACATCTTACCCTAATGATGAGCCCCGAGGACTGGAGGAGATGGTCTTTAAATAATAACGTTAAAAGGGTACACCTGGAGAGTTTAATCACAAGAACAATAATGGGAGCAGTGGAGCGCCCTCTAGGGAGGGATGTCGGGCGTGACATCAGTGGCCATGGAAGAACATCTTGACTTTCTCAAAGTAGTCTCCCTAGATCCGTACTTACAATACAGAACTGTTACCTTAGGACTTAAAAATGACAAACAAGATGCGAGTATCTTGAGCAGTACAGTATTAAAATCAAATCAGGAAATTACATTATCATCATACAATACACCAGCAAGCCCTCACTTACAATGTGGTAGAATATTGTTTACACTTTTGAGCATCATGTTACAACAAGGACTTTGCTTCTCGAGAATCAATTCAAAAAGGAACAACAAGATTAACTCCTGGCCTTTAAAGACTATCCTGCACAGGCTGATTAAAGGAACTAAAACTCTTTAGTTTTGAACAGAGCAGATTTTAAGGGAACGTGATGCAAATATTAAAAAACAAAACAAAAGGCATTAATAAAGTCAATGCAGAGGCCTACTTCAAGAAGAATTGTGAGGCAGTTAACTCAAGGCACAATGAGAAAACAAGAAGATGTCCACTTAGAACTGAAAACAGGTGCCATTTCTTTACATAAAGGATTGGACGTGTGAAATAAAATACCCAGTCACAGTGTTAAGGTATATTTCTGAAATTCATCAAAAAGGGTGAATGAGATCCTCTGAGCAATAAGCTATTGTAATTCTCTTGTTTGCAGCCTTTCCTATTTTCTATTGTGGTTTCTTATGAATTACATGAAGTCTGTGATTGCAAATGTTGCCTAATCACTGTGCCAGATACTTGGTATAGTCACTCAGAATGGTATTTTGTTCCAATTCAGAACGTAACATATACTGTGAAGAATCTCTGAACTCCTTATGGCACCTTCTAGCCAGTTGCCTCCAGGGCACTAAGTATTTCTTCATGAACCCCCTTTCATT